AAGTAAATGCTGTTTTTGTATGTTTTTCACTAAACACAAACTGTATTTTTTATTAATATATCTGGTCTAGCCAATTTCTTTTAAAAACTATTTATCTAGCTCCACCTTAAAAGTTCTGATAACAGGATGAATAAACATGTTTTCCCGTAGGCAGCCATGATAAATAACCATTAGCTAACTAGTTTTACGTTATTTACCAGCTGATTTTCAGGAGCTTCTGCAGCTTTTAGCTCATGAAGCCTTCCTTTAACGGGTCCACAGTGAGGAACCTGATAAAAATAAAGACGGACCGTTTTTCTGTTTTTGGAGTATAAAATAAAAAGGGTATAACCATCGGTTTTTCGATATCTGCTTTAAAAATTACAAAAACGAATGATGAGAAAGTACACAAACTTTAAATCTGCACAAAGTTATGATTTTTATTTTTTTCTCAGGGTTATTTAGTTTGTAGTTGCTCTGATTTTACTTATGAAATAAACCTGATATTTATGAACATTTAAGTTTAAAGTTTGGGTTTTCTGCACAGCGTTTTCCTGAAAAGCTCCTTTAAAACCTATATTTTGGTAACATGAACAATAAGCCCAGGGTGGTAAAGGCCAAACGGAGCCTCTGGCACAGATTTCCTCTGCTTTGTTTGTATTCAGAGTCGAGCTGCCGTCGCTGCTTTGATGACTCCGATGGAATATCTGTTTGAAGTACTGCTGATGCACAAACATCAAAACGTCCCTCATGATCTTAGTATCTGTTTAGATACTTATTAAAAACACAAGGCAGAGTCAGCATGAAGCACAGGAACCCTCTCCAGAGGAGCTGAATAATTGTTGGAGTCAGAAATAGCTCAGGAAGGAGAAAACAGGCTGCTTTTCTACGTACATGTTCCTCTCAGCTTCTGATGAAGGGTCAATGTATCTGCCATAGATGTACCTCAGATCCTGAAAGGCATCAGATTAACAACGAGGAAGTGTTTTAGACAGAAGTGCAACACATCCAGGTGAGAGCTGAGGGAGCGCTGAAGCAGACCCACCTTCTCCTCCACCTGCTTGGCGATGTTCTTCACATACAGCCTGCAGGTCGGCTCGCCCGCTTCGTAGTTCTTAAACACAGACATCCTTTTTATCTCTGTTTAAAAAGAGGAAGGATGGAAAGAAAAAAAAAAAGAAAAAGGATGAGCGCCAGAAGAATTTCAAAACCTGGTCCAAAAGGATCAGAGAGCAGCTTTGTTCAAAGTCACTGAAACTCAGACGTTCAAGGTTTTATTTCAAAAGTAAAACMGAGCAGAGCTCAGAGACGCTCTGATGGATGATTTCAACTCACACAAGCAGACTGTGGYTGTCTGTTAGCAAAATATCACAAACCAATCAGTACCACAAACTAGCTAAGTGCTACAGCTAGAAAAGAATTTAGCTAAAGTAGCAAAAGTCTAGCCAGAAGCTAAAAGTAGCAAAACATTTGTTAAAAACTTCATTAGGCAAAAGGTTAGCTAAAATGCCAGAACGGTGCCTAAGAGCTAAAAGTAGCAAACGGCTAGTTTAAAACTAATGTACCAAAATACTAGTTAGAAGCTAAAATCAGTTGTCTAAAAGCAGCAAAAGGCTAGCTAAAAATGAATGTAGGATAAGGTAAGCTAGAAGCTAAGGCAAGCTAGAAGCTAAAATCAGCAAAAAGCTAGCTAAAAAAGCAAAATGGCACCTAAAAAAGGTAAAAGTATCAAAAGGCTAGTTTAGAACTTAAATATCAAAGTTGAACCCAAAAATTAGCAAAAGGCAAGCTAAAAATCAACATAGCAAAAGGCTAACTAGAAGCTAAAATTAGCAAATCTTTGTCTAAAAGGAGCACAAGGCTATCTCATAGTAGCAGAATGGTGCCTAAGAGCTAAAAGTAGCAAAACGCTAGTTTAAAACAGGAAGTACCAAAATTGTAGCTAAAAGTAGCAACAGGCTAGCTAAAACTAATGTTGTAAAATACTAGCTAGAAGTTAAAATCTGTTTTCTATAAGCAGCAAAAGGCTAGCTAAAAATGAATGTAGGATAAGGTAAGCTAGAAGCTAAGGCAAGCTAGAAGCTAAAATCAGCAAAAAGCTAGCTAAAAAAGCAAAATGGCACCTAAAAMAGGTAAARGTATCAAAAGGCTAGTTTAGAACTTAAATATCAAAGTTGAACCCAAAAATTAGCAAAAGGCAAGCTAAATATCAACATAGCAAAAGGCTAACTAGAAGCTAAAATTAGCAAATCTTTGTCTAAAAGGAGCACAAGGCTATCTCATAGTAGCAGAATGGTGCCTAAGAGCTAAAGGTAGCAAAACGCTAGTTTAAAACAGGAAGTACCAAAATTGTAGCTAAAAGTAGCAACAGGCTAGCTAAAAACTAATGTTGTAAAATACTAGCTAGAAGTTAAAATCAGTTGTCTATAAGCAGCAAAAGGCTAGCTAAAAATGAATGTAGGACAAGGCAAGCTAGAAGCTAAAATCAGCAAAAAGCTAGCTAAAAGTATCAAAATGGCACCTAAAAAAGGTGAAAGTATAAAAAGGCTAGTTTAGAACTTAAAGTACCAAAGTTGTAGTCAAAAGCAGCAAAAGACAAGCTAAAAGCTAATGTAAAACAAAGCTTAACTAGAAGCTAAAATTAGCTAAATATTGTCTAAAATCAAAGTAGCAGAATGGTGCCTAAGAGCTAAAAGTAGCAAAAGGCTAACAGTAGCAAAAAAGTAAAAGAAGCTTGAGGGTAAAACTGAGTCAGTATGTTGATGTAAATTAGAAAAATAACATTGTTTATAAAATAATTTTGATGGATATTGGTGCATTTCAATCTAAAGTTAAATATTTTGAAAATCGTACAAGCTACAAATGTCAAAAATCAGAGAACGTTTTTATATAAATGGCTAAAATGACACAAATCATTCAGAAAACAGAAAAAAGGCGAGAAAAGAGAACGCTGACTCAGCATTTCCACAATGACTGATTCCTTTAACTCCTGCCGTGTTGATTGTGAGCTGGTTTTCACCTCATGATGTTTGTGTTTAGCTGCTCATTAGACACTCAAAAGGCTGAAAGCAGTTTTTAAAGACAATATGTGGAGACAGAGGACGCTTTGATGACTCTGACTCTACATCTGGCTCAGAAAACCACGGTCACACCTAATTACACCCAGTAGAGCTGACAGCCAACAGAAAGCTACCATCCTCTCCTCCTCATGGAGAAATTATACACAAGCCCCGCCTCTAACGGTGTGTAATTTTCAGTGTGCTTGCGGTGTTTAGCCACCAGCTCGTTCTCATATGCATTTCAAACGAGCGGCTGCAGCCGCCTTGCATCACCTGAACAGAGTGTGAGCGAGGAAACGAGGGGAGGTTACAGCTGTTCTGCAGCCGCTCTAAAAGAAGAAAGAAGCAACATTAAAAGGATGATTGTTGTGATTGTGAGCACGTACTCAACCCGACACGTTTCCTGAAAGCTTTTTAATCATTATGGATCGCAGCAAACATCTGAGCCGAGTCCTGCAGGGTTTGTTGAGAACCGACCTTCGGCTGCTGTTCCCTCCCAGCCCAACATCTTCAGCTCATATTTACCGTCTTTAGACAGACGCCCTTTGTCCAGCTCCTTCCTGGAGACCACGTCTGACACCAGGTCCCGCTCGTCGTCGCTCTGCTCCTCCTGCTGCTGCGACGTCTGGGAGCTGGGGTAGAGCTTCCCGAAGCCTTCTGTCACCTCCTGACTGCTGCTGGGGGCCGCCGCCGCCGCCGCCGCACGCCCCCCCACTGACAAAACACACAGAGTTACTGCTTACACTTCAAGAACGTTACTAAAAAGAAAACACTTCAGGTTTCACTCCAATGTTTGAGCTCCATGCAAAAACATTAAGCTAAGCTAAGCTAAGGTAAGCTAAGCTAATGTAAGGTAAGGTAAGGTAAGCTAAGGTAAAGTAAGCTAAGATAAGCTAAGGTAAGCTAAGCTTAGGTAAGCTAAGGTAAAGTAAGCTAAGATAAGCTAAGCTAAGGTAAGATAAGCTAAGCTGAGCTAAGGTAAGCTAAGCTAAGGTAAGCTAAGCTAAGGTAAGCAAAAGTAAGCTGAGCTAAGGTAAGCTAAGGCAAGATAAGCTAAGGTAAGCTAAGATAAGCTAAGCTAAGGTAAGGTAAGCTAAGCTGAGCTAAGGTAAGCTAAGCTAAGGTAAGGTAAGCTAAGGTAAGCTAAGGTAAGCTAAGCTAAGGTAAGGTAAGCTAAGGTAAGCTAAGCTAAGCTAAGCTAAGGTAAGCTAAGGTAAGCTAAGGTAAGCTAAGGTAAGGTAAGCTAAGGTAAGCTAAGGTAAGCTAAGCTAAGGTAAGGTAAGCTAAGGTAAGCTAAGGCAAGGTAAGCTAAGGTAAGCTGAGCTAAGGTAAGCTAAGTCAAGGTAAGCTAAGGTAAGCTAAGGCAAGGTAAGCTAAGGTAAGCTAAGGCAAGGTAAGCTAAGCTAAGCTAAGGTAAGCTAAGGTAAGTTAAGGTCAGCTAAGGTAAAGTAAGCTAAGGTAAGGTAAGCTAAGGTAAGGTAAGCTAAGCTAAGCTAAGGTAAGCTAAGCTAAGGTAAGTTAAGGTAAGCTAAGCTAAGGTAAGTTAAGGTAAGGTAAGCTAAGCTAAGCTAAGGTAAGCTAAGCTAAGGTAAGTTAAGGTAAGCTAAGCTAAGGTAAGTTAAGGTAAGGTAAGCTAAGCTAAGCTAAGGTAAGCTAAGCTAAGGTAAGCTAAGGTAAGTTAAGCTAAGGTCAGTTAAGGTAAGCTAAGGTAAGGTAAGCTAAGCTAAGGTTAGATAAGCTAAGGTAAGCTAAGGTAAGCTAACCTAAGGTAAGCTAAGCTAAGGTACGCTAAGCTAAGGTAAGCTAAGCTAAGCTAAGCTAAGGTAAGCTAAGCTAAGGTAAGTTAAGCTAAGGTCAGTTAAGGTAAGCTAAGGTAAGGTAAGCTAAGCTAAGCTAAGGTAAGGTTAGATAAGCTAAGGTAAGCTAAGGTAAGCTAAGGTAAGTTAAGGTAGGCTAAGCTAAGGTAAGCTAAGGTAAGCTAAGCTAAGCTAAGGTAAGCTAAGCTAAGGTAAGCTAAGCTAAGATAAGGTAAGATAAGATTAGATTAGATATTATTGATCCCACAGGGGGATATTTGCACATTAAACTGATTAACTTTAGAGTTGACCTGATTCAAGATGGCCGCCACAAAAGTCTGTTTTACAAATATTGATCTTGGACACAGATTGTGAAGGTCTTTGTTTAAAACAGCCATTAACAGAAAACTGAACAGATATTTTCATGTTGTTTATAGCTGCTAGCAGCTCATGTAGACCACACCCTACATGGGCTGCATAAACAGCTGTGCAATGAGACCGTCTAGTCCCGGGTCATGGGGACTGAATGTGCATCGCAGCGCCGATAGCTGGAGGGAAAATAAGAAAAAACTCAATTAAAAAATGTAATCTAATAAATGTTTTAAACAGCATTAGCTTCAGACTCCCAGGCCTGAAGCTAATGCTGTTTGGGGGGTCCTAGCATGGAAACGTTTGGGAAACCATCGACCTACTGACCATTTTTTGTTCTTTAAACAACAAAAAGACCATAAAAACTCGAACGTTAATCAATTATTGAATGAAAATGGTGCAGAAAGAAGAAAACATTTTTTGTAAYACATATTACATTTTATTGTTGACTTGTGTTAACCTGCATACAACAATAAATAAACCACTCCCGACTCCGGTACGAGCGTCTGTACTTCCTGTTTGTCAGCACTCTGACACCGGTTGCATCTCTCCGGTGTATGGAATCAGAAAGTTCCAGAAGAAAAGGTTTGATCTATGATCAGTGTGAGAGGATGAGACCGAGGGGTTCCCTGTTCCCCTTATCTTCCCCCCCACGCCTCCCCACCCCCCTTCACTCCCTGAGAGGTAAAACAGATCTCACAGGCGAGCACAAAGGATTTCCTGGAGGCAGATAAAGTATGACAGGAGGATGTTTTGGATTAGTCTTGTTTTGGTGGGGCTCTGATAAACAGGAGATTTAAATGAAAAGGAGAAAGCGGGGAGCAGATAAGGACTGCAGGTTCTCTGTGGAGTGGGAATCAGAAAAGCTCCTGAACGCCTGAGTGAACCCACACCTCCTCCTCCTGCAAACCACAAGTTTTCTCTCCTCATCAGATTTGTACGGCTCGCTGCTCTCTCAGGCGTCCACACAGTCCTCTGAAGCGTCTCTCCTCCCTCAATGTTCCTGACATCAGCCACAGCCTCTCATTTCCATCTTTAATCTGATGAAGGATCTTTATTTGGACTGAGATTAAAACAATCCCGCAGCTCTTACCTCTGTCTTCATCACCAGGCCYGTGGTCTTCCTCAGCAGCTGCCACCTCTGGAGCTGAGATGTGGAATTGGATTTTTCTGGGGCCGGCAGGGTGGGGCTGCTCGAACACGTCGGCGGGCTGCAGGACGGGAGCGCTGAAGACCAAACAACAAACAGAGGAGGCAACATGAAATGTTCTGTTTGCTTTTAGAGTTTTGGAAACAGAAGTAGAAGAAGACGAGRCGTCTTCACATCATAAAGTTTTAGGATGATTTGTTTGAAGGTGCAGGAGGATCCAGCATGGGGACATGGTTACCTCTGAGACTCTGCTCTGGGAGCATAAAGCAGATCTTTGATCTTYGGCTTCTTTCTTTTTGAAGCTGTTTTTTGTCTCAGGGGTCTCTTGCATGTTTGGTTGACCAGACCCATCAGRCGAGCAATCCTGAAATAAAGAAAGGAAACTGTGACGAACCTGGACTCAAACATCCAACAGTGAACT